ACGGATACAAAGACTTAAAATACTATGCACATACTAGGAGCATAGAAAATCCTTCCCTCAAAATAAAAAAGGTAGAAGACACAGGATTGCCATCTTCCCTGCACACTGCATTGTGAACCAGAGGAGGTCTCCATTTCCCGAGCCATTGGCGCTCTTTGGAAAGCGTGTTATTTCTTTCCCTTTCCAGAGTGACAAAGGAGAGGATGGGAAAGCAGGCTGGCTTTCTCCAAGAGCTCTTCTTCCTACAAAATTCTGAAGTCTATTTTTGTTTCTAAGGAAAGCTTTCATATTTATATTTTTGGAGACTTCTTTTGGAAAAGTGGAGTGCACTCTTCTGGAGAGGGAAGAAAAGGAACACTATTTTAAGTAGGTAAACAGTATTGTCCACTTGGGATTTATTTCTGTTCAAGTTCAGTCAAAAAAATCTTCATGCCCTCCACATCCATGTGTTCCTTCAAAGCTCTGTAATTTGTCCAACATAGACATTACCATTGAGGTAATGGTCTGGTTTTGTGTCCAGATGTCTCAGCGTAGCTGCATACATACAGGATCCTTGTCTAGCTCATCACTATAATTCTAGCAGAGTACATGGCACCTAACATGCAGGCTTTGTTAAATACATTTCTGTTGAAATAAAAAAAATGCTTTGAGTCCCTCTCCCTGTAGGGCTGCGGTTCTCAACCTGTGGGTCGCGACCCCTTTGAGGGTCAAACGACCCTTTCACAGGGGTCGCCTAAGACCATCGGAAAACACATATATAATTACATATTGTTTTGTGATTAATCACTATGCTTTAATTATGTTCAATTTGTAACAATGAAATTGGGGGTCGCCACAACATGAGGAACTGTATTAAAGGGTAGTGGCATTAGGAAGTTTGAGAACCACTGCTCTAGGGAACCCTCTCTAGAGGGAGACATCTACACTCCTTCTGTGAATTCCTGTCAACCCATGCAAGGCAGTCCTTGTTATAGGACGTATGATGTTGGCTTTCTAAGCCAAGGTAATCTATAAGCTCCTTGAACACACCAGTCACATCCTATAGCTCCTTAAAGAAGTTATTCTGCAAATAGTTGATCAAATTTTGGCTCTAGAGTAACTTTCTAAAAACTCATCTTAGATGACGTAAGCTCTAATTGAGGAATTAAATGTCCTTCATCATTATTTCAGGGTGATTTGAGAAAAAGATACTTGTGAAATCTACTACTACAACCATTCAATAGAGGGGATTCGAAGCAAAGTAATTTGCTATTCAACCTTCCATTTGTTGGAATTCAGAGACCTGAGGTTGTATTTAATAACGAGCTCCTGAGGTACTTTCCAAACGTATTTGGTTTAACAGTCCAAGATCTGATAAAAATGCAAAAGAAACATCATTGGATCTCAGTGAGAGACTAGCTTAAACTGGCATCAACTTATCTAAATATAGTCAGGGTCAAAATCTTAGCACCCTTGAAATGTCTAGCTCATAGAACAAGGACCACATTCTGTAGGAAAAAAAATAATGTTAATAATGGGTATCAGGAGTATAAAATGCACCTTGGAAATTTTTAATAGATTTTCTTTCATTTTAACTGTGTGTGTGTGTGTGAGAGAGAGAGAGAGAGAGAGATAAAGAGAGAGAGAAAGAGAGAGAAAGAGATGCACGTTCATACCTCCCATTGAAATTAAATAAAAAAATCA